TCTGTAAAAACAAAGCAGGTCTTTTAAGGCAAACAGACAAATCACAGAAAATTAAGTCCAAGCAAAACAATTCTAGTGTTTCTTTTTTTAAATGTTCACTTTAACTGGAGCGGGGTGTGTGTGTGTGTGTGTGTGTGTGTGTGTGTGCGTGTGCGTGCTACATGTCCCGTCCCCCGTCCATCATGCCTCGCTGCAGAACCAGAGGACAGAGATAAAGGCACCGATCTCAGAGCTCCAAGAAACGTGAAGCTCAGAACAAGCAGCCGACCCGGGTTCTGAAACAGGAAGTGACCTCCGCACAGAACCCGAGTCGTCAGACAGAAACAGTGTTTCAGCACCAGGTAACGCTCCGGACACATAGAAAGCTTCAGCTGAAGGCTCCGCCCACCACTAACAACAGGACCAATCGGCAGCCTCGCTGCTCGCAGCATGAACACCTGTTCAGGTTATGCATATATTTCAAAGTGCAGGTAAGAAATCGTCTTTTTGGTGTTCGAGTGCAACGTTTGTTCTCACAAATATGGCTTCTCAAGAAAGACTCGAGGAAAAGAGCGTCTTCTGATCGTTCTATAGTCTCTTGGTGTGCTTGGAGTTGTAATGGCTCCTCATGTCTTTGCGAAGCCGGAACTTCTCGCCGCACACGCCGCAGATGTACAGGTGGACGTCCATGTGCTTCTCCAGCTGCTCGCCGCCGGGGAAGATCTGGAAACACACCTGGCAGATGGTTTCTCCGGCCGACAGGTGGGAGATCATGTGCCGGACGTGGTCGTGTTTGAGGAAGGTTCCCTGGTCGCAGACCGGACACACGTAGCGGGCCATGCCTTTGTGCATGTCGGTGTGCAGGCGGAGCTGGCGCTCCCGCAGGAACTGCTTCCCGCAGGTCTGACAGGTGAACTGTTTCTCCTTGGTGTGGACGGTGTAGTGCTCCCGCAGGTGGCAGCGCTGGTAGAAGCCTTTCCCGCAGATGCTGCAGAAGTGTTTCCTGCGGTGGTCTGCCTCTGCGCCCCCCTCCTCCAGCATCACGGGGCGGAACAGATCCTGGTCGTGGCAGGACAAGGCGTGCTCCAGCGCCAGGCTCTCGTTCTGGAAGAGCAGGCCGCAGTGGGGGCAGGCCAGGTCGGCCACCTCCAGCAGGCCCTCCTCCATCCCCTGAGCCTCCCCCAGCAGCGACGCCTCGTCCTCTCCGTGGGAGTCCGACTCGGCACCGTGGGACTCACCGCAGCGCTCGGCGTGCTCCTGCAGCTGCCGCCCTTTGATCAGAACCTGGCCGCACCTCCCGCAGGCGCAGATGTGGCCCAGGTGGTTGGACAGGTAATGGGTGGACTTGTCCTCCTCAGCTAGAAGAGCGCCACAAAGTTCACAGGGGGAGCAGTCGGCGTCCAGCCTCTCGTCTTTGACCCTGCGCAGCTTTGAGGGGATTCCTGAATCGTTGCTGCTCGACGGGTGTCCATCCATCAGCTCGCCGCTGCTCTCCAAACCCGACACTCCTGGTTCAGAGTCCCGGTTGAGTGTCAGCACGTCTGGACGGGTCCCATCGCTCAGACGGGAGCTGCAGTCTCGGGTTACGTGATCGCTGACTTGGATCATCTCGATCTCAGAGAACACGCTTTCCTCTGGTTCTGTTTTGATGCTCCTGGTTGACCCGGGCTCGCTGTCGGGCCTGGCTGCCAGCGACCTGATGGAGGGGTCAGAGTCGGCTTTAGCCTCGATCCAGTCGTCCTCGCCCTTACAGACGACCCTCTGCTCCTCGGCGCTCTCAGAGGCCGTGCTCTCGGCTTTACCGGAGCCGTTGTCCGTGTCCACGCTGCCCCTGGGCGTATGGAAGGCCTTGCGGTTGGTGCAGGTCAGGATGTGCTCGATCAGGAGCTTCTCGCAGCTGAAGACAAAGCCGCAGTCGTCGCAGGTGTAGGTGCGACCGAACCTGGGTCGGTCTTTCAGAGACCCACTCCTGCCTCCGGATCGCTTTCTCAGGTCGCACGGCTGCTCGGCTGCTCCGTCTGCAGCAGGAGGCGCCACGATCAGAGGAGCGCTCGCCACCACTTCCTCCATCAGTCCGGGCCTGCTGACAACAGCTGGAACAACAGCTGGAACAGCAGCTGGAAGAGCAGCTGGAAGAGCAGCTGGACGCCCGCTGCTGTTCCCTGCTTTAGTTAGAATCTCTCCCTCTGGGGCTGCGGGCCTCTGCTGCTCGTACATCCGGACCCCAAACATCATTTTTCCTCCAGAGAGTCCGGTGGAGGAACTGGATGAAGACGAAGAGGAGGCTGAGGAGGACGGGGTGAGGTTGGAGTTCCTGATGTCCCTGAGGTCCTCCAGCGAGTCAGGAATGTAGTACATCTGCAGGTACGCCATGGAGGCTTTGAGCTCTTCAAACTCGTAGCTCCCCACCACGATGCGGCCGAGGTACATGAGCTGCAGGATGAGGTCGAAGCACTCGGCGCTGATCTGCATGTTGCTGAGGTCCAGGTGGCCCGCCCCCTGCTGGTCCCGGATGAACATCATCCTGAAGTAGGAGCTGCAGGCCGCCAGGACGGCCTTGTGAGCCCTGAAGTAGATGTCCCCGATGGCGATGAGGCAGTCGCACAGGAAGCCCCATTCCCGCTGGTTGTTGAGCTGCTGAAGGACGTGGTCGCTGTGGCTCGGCCTCGCCATCGCCCTGCACACAACACAGGAACACAGTCAACACCGGCTGCACAGCAGGTTCCTGTCGCTGCACACGCAGGACCAGCTCTCAGTCCTGAAATGACTCAGCAAGACCTGAATCACGAGACATGATTGTGATCAGAATCACAGAACCTGCACGTTCCTGTGAGAGCAGAAGCCAGGGGCTTTCTGAGCCTGTTAGTAGGTCAGTGTTTGAGCTGACCGAGCGTTAATGTTCGTAGAGTTTGACACCGAAGCCTGATCTGACTGAGACTCAGAGCGTGCCAGACGCCGAACCGTCTCGCTGCAGACGAGCGTGAGCGAGCGCCGCAGGTCAGTAAAAGAAGGAAGTGACGAGCTTGCACGCAAACTGAGCAGAACTTTTACTTCGTTCACTCGGAGCTGATCAGGTGAACAGATAACAGCGAGCCCGACGCCCTGACCTCAAACTCGCTACTTCCTTAATTATTGTTTGTCGTTGTAGCTAACATTGACACTTTTAGCTAGTGTTTTGCTACTTTAGGCGTTTAGCTACCATTTTGTTGCTTTGAGCTTCTTTTAGCTTCAACGTGTCAGTTTTTGCTTCATCACTTCTTTTGCTTTTAGCTACGTAAGCTTTTTAACATTCTTTTAACTTGATCCCAGTATATGCAAATTAGTCTGGGTGCCACTTTTTGTGTTTTCCCCACAGTTGGCTGTGGCGGCCATTTTGAATTGGGTTGCCTCTAGGAGTAATTGTAGACAACACTCAGAGGATGTCATGTAGGTCCATGAGATATTTTGCTAACAGACATACAAAGACAACAGAATGGCTGTAAATGTTGCGCAACACTAACTGAAATATGAGTGGCTCCTAAATCTGAACTGTGAATAAATCAAAATGTGTGACTGGACACGGACACGAGCACGAGCACGTCTCCTGATTGAGGTTAGAGCAGCAAAAGAGTAAGTGAAAATGTAAAAAGCTAACTAAAAGTTAAAAAAGCTTAGCCAGAAGCTAAAAGAACCCTGAAGGAGAGCTGCGTGTCATTTTCTGGATGATTTGAGGTCATAATTATTAGATGTGCGGGGGCCCACCAAGACATGCGGGACACGCTGCGTTTGGAGCAGAAACAAGTTCCCTGATCTGCTGAACTTTGATTTGTCCTTATTCCAACCAAACTGTAGAAAAAAAAACACGAAATAAGAGCGCATCCACTTTGTCGTACTTTAGTTACTCGAACTTCCGGTCCATTCCCGCAGAGCCCCGCAGGAACAGTCACGCACTCACCTGCTGGCCTCGACACGCTGTGGGGGAGACGGGTCAGGATGTGTCCGGGTGGGCAGCTGGGGGACAGGCCGGCTGAGCTAAGGAGCTAAAATGGAGATTTCAGCTCCGCTAGCTGCAACAAGCTAGCTGTTAACTTCAAACACACCGGATGTTGCAGAGGCTGCGCCTTCAAAATAAAAACTCATGTAAGCGTTCTTACTAGAAACAAAAAAAAATTCAAGCATGCAGAGCCCCAGCTTCCATTTAGATTATTATTAGAACGAACAAACAAACGAATTAAAAAAAACAAAAAAAACAGAGCACCACACTTTGACTTTTAACGCAACACTTCTTAATTTGAAAATCTCTACCGGATGAGAATCACATAAATGCCACAACCTGACGATACCGAGCCACATCTCTCCCGCAAACAACCCGCCACCCCCGCACTGCCACCGCATTCAGTAAATAGAGGCCAGCAGGCCGCGGGGAATTTTCCCCTTTACTGTACCGACTAGGAGGCTCTGAAGGCCGCGGACTCACCGTGGGCCCGCGGAGGAGCTGCTGGTGTCGGAGCGGATGTTCCCGGAGCTTTCCTGCCCGGAACCGTTTGCTGTGCTCGGGCAGAAAGTTTGAGACGAACAGCCGCCTCTTCTTCTTCTCCTCCTGCAGGATGAGAGCACTTCCGCACTGAGTGCCGCGCCGTCAAACACGGAAGTTAGAATTCAAGACATCCGGTCACAGCGGGGCCTTTCAAAACAAAACGATAGTCAAAATTTTATTGTAAAAACGTTGCGATTTTATTGGTTTCAGGAAGGCCCAGTTAGGATATCCACATTGCTCTAGAGCCTGTCTTGTGTGGGATTTCTCCTTCTGCCTGGCTCCTGAGCTAGTGGGGACGCTGTCTGCTCTGTGATACAGAGTCCTGATGACTCCTAACTTGTGCTCCAAAGGGTGATGGGAGTCAAACTGCAAATACTGGTCTGTGTGGGTGGGGTTGTGGTACACCTCAGTTTGCAAATGTCCTCTATCAGAGACTGAGACCTCACAGTCCAAGAAAGCCAACCGGAGCAGAAACCCAAACAGGACTCCAGTCAGCCATCAGGTGAAAAGGAGGAACCCAGACCCAGACCAGTGGTCATTCCAGATGTTGAGGGCGTATCAGAGAAACTGAGACGTTTATTTTCTAAACACAACGTCCCAGTGGCTTTTAAACCCCAAAATACATTAAAGACTGGTTCATCCCAAAGATCCAGTCCCCCGGCACAAACAGAATAATATTGTGTATGCTGTTCAGTGTCAGGAGGGTGATCAGTCTTACATCGGGGAAACTAAACAGCCACTGGCCAAAAGGATGGCCCAGCACAGAAGATCAACATCATCAGGCCAGGACTCTGAGGTCTACACTCATCTCCAGGCCAGCGGTCACTCTTTCAGGGATGAAGATGTTCACATCCTGGACAGAGAGGAACGATGGTTTGAGAGAGGAGTAAAGGAGGCCATCTTTGTGAAAAGAAATCGTCCATCATTAAACAGGGGTGGAGCCTCCTGGTTCAACTGTCCCCCTCTTACACTGCTGTGATTGCTAGTATCACTCAGCCCACTGTGAATAGTAAACAGCCATCAGGTGCTAATGATCCATTGTTAGGCTGATGGTCCTTCTTGAGCATGTGATCAGCTGGTTTTGGTTGTCAGCAGCAAACTGGTTGATCCACTCTGAGAAGGTGCTATTTAAGAGACTGAGCTGAATACAGCTCCTCAGACTGAGGAAGTCCTCAGGATGAGACGAAACGTTTCTAAAATTTTTTTATTGTTTTGCTTTATTTTGTTTTTTTGAATGTCCAGAGGACCAGATTTAACTTTTTTGGAACTGATGAAATGTATTTTATTTTGAAAATCTTAACCGGAACCTGAAAACATTGCGAGGAGCTTGTACAGGTCACCTGGGGCCGCGTGCCAAGCGAAGTAACAAAAAGACAACGAAGATGTCTCACTCTGAGCTTGTTATCAGCAACTAAACGAGGCTCTGATCAGAGATAAATGAATTGAAGATGTCGCACTCTGATGAATTTAACGAATAAAGAATAAAGCGACTCAATCTCAGATTATTTTTCATTCAACCTTTATTTATACAGGTTAGTCTCATTGAGCCTCGATGACTCATTTACAAGCGATAACTGATTTTAACAAAGAGTGATGACAACAGTGGACAATCATAGAAAAAAGCATACATGTTAAGATTAACTGAAAAAAAAAAGACATAACTGAAATAAACTAAAGAAAATGGTATTAAAGAGTTCTAGAACTGCTCCGCTCCAGGTGTCTGCATGTTGGAGCAGCTCTGTTACTTTCATTCTGGGATTTTGCTTTTGGAAATGTTAATTCATCTTTTTCTGGATGTAAATCACATTTTCTGGATGATTGTTTCCTCTGGTATCAGATGCTGTGCAGCTGGAAGGATTTTTACTGAAACTTTTTTAGTTTTGGACATTTGTTATGATGCGTAACCATGGCAACAAGGCAGTTTTCTACAACAACAGCAGCTGATTAACATCTCAAAAGCTCAAATAATATCTCAACTACAGCCCTAAATCTCAAATGAGTTGAAAAGGATGTTATGTGGATGCATTCTCATCTACCTGCCAGCTGTGCTCGAGTGCCTGACCACTGAGATCCTGGAACTAGCAGGAAACACGACTCATGACAGCAGAGGGACAGGATCGTCCCTCAGCACCTACGGTTGGCTGTCCGCAGTGACGAGGAGCTCGTCAGGCTGCTGGGAGGAGTGGCCATCGCTCTGGGAGGAGTTCTGCTCTGCATTCAGGCGGTCCTACAGACCGGGGGAACCGAGAGGCCAGCCAAGTCTGGATCAGACGGCATCTGCAGCCAGTTTCTTAGGATCCACTGAGGGATGGACCTTTACAAGAGATCCTTCCTGTCTACAGCATCAGCATCTTTAACATCTCTTAATGAAATGAGGATAACGAGTTACAACAACAAATAATTTCCCTCTGGGATTAATAAAGTATTTTTGAATTGAATTGAATTAAAAAACAAAACAGCTACATTATAACGTGATGTAAAATACTAAAAACAGGAACATGTCTGCGTTGGTTCTTCCAGGAACTGAACAGATGTTTGAAGCCACTTAGAGAGGTCAAAGGTCGAGAGCTTCAGATCTTTTTACAAGATATTCCAGGAAACAGGAGCGGAGTAGGAGAAGGTCCTTTTGTCTAGTTCAGTCCTCACTGAGGGAACACTGCAGGTAATGATGTCCT